TCAGCAATGTGCTTGGAGATATTTTAGAAATGAATTATTACTTGAACTTCAAGTTAACATTTTCTTGTACGAGGATCTAGATTTATTCATAATAATTCATTTCACGTATCACTTTTTCAACTGCCCATTTTCTCCCCCTAATGTCGGGATCATCAACACATTTTCCAACCTTCTTTGGGAACCCATCTTTGTGCATTGTGACAGCACAATTAAATCATATAGCACATCAATATTTCTAGATGGGAATATTTGGTTCCTGACCGTGAACCAAATGTGATGGCGAGAATTTATCATAACTTCTTGGCTTGATGCGTACAAGTGCTGTTGTATATTAAATAATACACCTCATACCAAATTTCTATTTGGGAGTTTTGTTCTCATAACCAATGGTTTAGCTATAATTGGGGGCATACAATTTCTGCTAAACCAACTTGGATTTAAACCATCATTATCAAGATAAATTATCATAATATATATATTCTGAAACTGTGCTCTAACAATTTGAGCAAACAACCTTGCAAAAATCAAAGTGCAAGTTGATAACAAACGCACATGTGACCATACAATAGATGCATCTGTTAAAATCATATAATAGTAAACGGTCCACATGGCAGGTGACATGGCCCATATATATATCACCTTTTATATGTTCCAAAAGTTAGGGAATACAATCCCAACTCTAGCTGGTATAGTAATCAATTTATCATGAGAACAAGTCGTACATGAGAATTCTTGAAGAATCTTCGAATTCTTCAATATATGCCAATGTGAATTCTCAATCATTTTTCGCATCATAATTGAACCGGGATGGCCAACTGGTCATGCCAACTAATATTTATTTCAGTAAACCTCTAGTTTACTTGTGGCATGTGATTCTATCATCATGGTTATACTTGTGTAGTACAAATAGAAGGAAAATCGGGTAACCTTTCATATTTACCCGGTATGATTATAGTAATATGAAGATATTCAATCTTCCTTTCATTTATAGTCTCAATATGCCAACCACTTTGGCTAATATATTTGAAATTCAAAATTTTCTTTTGAGACTTACTACCACCAATGCCATGAATAATTTTATTTATTCGGGTAGTAACAAATTCGCTCTTCCGGAGCTCTCAATAATTTTGTACTACAAGATCTTTTGTCACACCATCCATATGGTGAATGTCTCCTTCACGGAGAAAATCATATCATAATAATTGTCATGGTCAAAATCATCATAAGCAAAATTATTTCTTACTTTAATTTTGCTTTTACTAATCTTTTATAAGACATGGCAAAATATTATTTGGCGTACCACATGTACGCGACCAATGACATATTCATATAACCATATTGTAATATTCATTATCTTTATTTCTCTCAAATCTCCCTTAGAGGTGAGTTGTGGTATTCATCCAAGCATGTATTGCACGTCTTTATTCATTACTTTTATCACATATTGCCACATTCACCTTCAGGAATGGGTCTGCATTCTCAATGCTTATCATACGTCACATCCTCTTCAAGGAATGGATCATAATCAACGACGTGCTTTATTATTTTTCATACCAATTTGGTAACATTGCCTTCACATTTTGAAGGACTATTTTGAGAACCCTTCTTGTTCTCATTTTTATAGTTATCATAATGATGACTATTATTATTTTGGTATTTGATACGCCCACATTCATTCGCTAACCACTTATCTTCATTTAGACTTATTATGCACCGCTACCTTATTCACTTCAAGTATGGAGCATATCAAGTTGGACAAGCTTCATGATTTTTTCATGAAAAATATATTATTTTTCTTTAGTCATCATTATATCACCAATATGGTGCATTGGGACTCAAACCCAATGCCTTACCAATATAAATGCATGTTAGGCCATAATAAATTGGGACTCAAACCCAACTATTATCATTATGGAGCATCAAGACTTGATCCCAATGTCTACCCTCAATCAATGGCATAATAGGCTAAACAATATTGAGATTCATTCTCAAGCCTTAATTTCAATCATATGCCAAGAAAGTTGTACACAGATAATTTGCAGCTTAGCAAATCAAATTTGCTTTCTTAAATAAGTGTACATATCTCAAATCAGCGTAAATTTTATCAATTATTTGTAGCATCTATATGAAATATCAATTATTTGTAGCATCTATTGGAAATACAACCGTTTATGGTCAGAATATTTCTTCTAAATTCTATTAGAGTTTAAATGGATCATAAAATCATTGTCATAATATGCCAAAGTGCACTATGACTCACCCTTGAGCAGCAACAACAACAACAACAACCCAGTATAATCCCTTGAGCCTTTATGAAAAATATCAATTATCAATTTTGTGGTCATCAGTAGAAGCGGGATTAGTTATAAGAATATAATCACTTCTACAAGTCATGTATATCATGAAACTTTGCTACAATTCAAGTGTTATTTATTAATGCAAGACTTTTAATTTTAAATAATTATTATATAATAAATTTTAGGTACTGATAAACCATCAGCAAAGTAGTAACAACCATATAGAAAACGATTAAGAAATTATTTTGATCCATTGACAATTAAATCTCATAATTAAGCATTGACATCTGTCAGTTACCACTTTCCAAATAAAATGAATCTTAAAATCCTCTTTTCTAAAAGAGAGAGAGACATCTTCAAAATTATCAATATATTTATAGGCTGCAAATTTACATCCAATAACTTGTAATAAATCATGATAGTGTTTGATAAATATTATAGAACACATAAAAAAATACACTAAGTGTTTACATGATATATTAGTAGCCAAATTAAAAATATATGCATGTTCAGTATTTATTGAATAAGTCAACACACTTGATCAAGCTATTTCAATTACACAAAGACTAAATAGTTTAAAGTGATCAGAAAGGTTCAAAAGAAATTCAAATTGATGAAAAATTCAAACAAAATTAAAGTACTTAAAAAAAACTGAATATTCAAACCATAGTTCAACTTATGCAAGTTCTGTTTTGAAAGCTTACATATGAAAAGCTTAGCTATTATTAAAAATTAATGTAACTAAGAATATTATTAATAAATGATGATATAAGAGTTCCAAAGCGGACTGCATATACTTATTAGGCTAAGAAGATTAAGTGAAGGAAACATATCTCACATATTTTACAGAGAAAAATCACATCCTTGAAAGCTTTGGAAATTTTTCAAGTTCAATAAATGAAAATTAGTAAACTGTAAGCTTACATATGTTTGTTCTTGATTCAACCCGCTTATTTTCCTGCACAAATAATATTGTACTTTTGTGTAATATGAATAATACGAAATCTTAAATCCCAAATACTAAAATGAGAATTCATAGGAAAAATGGAAAAGATACTCCTTGGACAATTGAAGCAAATTGATTCACATATTAAATACTCAAACTTCCACCGAGAACGTAACTGATTCTAGGTATTCAATATTTTGTAGTTCAACGATGAACTTGGTTATCTTCGTACTTTAAGATGATAGCTGAAATAAAAATTAGAGCTTCGTGCTGATAACGTATTATGAAATATAACTCAAAGTAACAATACGGAACAAGGAAATAAAAGCAATTTAGTAAAACATGAACAAGAAATGGAGATAGAGAGAAGGAAGAGATTTCTTCTTCAATTGTGTGTATTTTCCTATCAATTACAAGACCTTTATATAGGCATAAAAAGTGAAGAAAATATGTCATAGAATATGTCATTGAACATACAAAATATATCATTGAAAATGTCATTAAGCATTTGAGATGAAGATCATGGAAGAAGAGTAGACATCCACCATAATTTGATATTTATCATAACAGTCCTAGAATAGTAGGAATAGTTGAAATTTGGTACTGGACATCCACTTCGTGGATAAGTGGATATAGTTCCACTAAATTTATGAGTAGTTGCTAAATGTAGTGAAATTTCACACGTATTACTTTATGTTTTCCTCACTTCTGCAATTGATCTGAAACCTCAATGTTTGTCGATGGAGGAAAGACGCAGGGAATGAAGAACGGGAGAGAAAGAAAAAAATTTAGGACTTCTATTATGAAGGGCATTTTGGAATAATGAAAAAATATTAGGGATGAAAGAGTAAACAACTTGGTCAAACCTAACTAGCTTTTAAGCCAAAAAGCAATAAGTTTGAAATTGTCCAACTTATTACTTTTGGCTTGTTTTGGGCCTTTTGGCTTAAAAGTCAAGAGCTTGTAAGCACTTTTTAAATTTTGCCAAACACTGAAATAAGCTAAAAATAGCTTAAAATCCAATCCAAACACCCTCTTATTAAAGAAAAATGAATAAACAAGAATGGAAAAATGAGAGACCACATTGAAAATTTTTCCAACTTCTCTCATGCTGAAAGATGAAAGTCCAACAATAAGAAACTCTCTTACACTTGAGGTTTCTCATTTAGGAGTTCTTCTCAGTTTTTTCTTATTTGTGCAAGAAAACCTTATAGTAGAAAGAAAAGGTTTATAAACAAAGAATGGAAATTAATTAAGGAACATGTATTTTGGAGAAAAGAAAGAGAGCATCTCAAGAAAGTTTTCTTTGAAGATTTTCTGTATGTATATATACACTACAGCTTCATCCTTTCCATCAACAAGAACAAAGAACAAAGGATAAAGGGAAAGATTGCATACTAGCAAAAGTAAGAAAAGAAACACAGAAAATGGGGTTCAAAGGGAGCTACAGCTGCTGTACCAACTCAAGTATGCGAGATTTTGTGCGAATAGGAGAGAATCAATATTCCTGCCATTCGCTATCTGTTTCTTCCTCCTCGAATCAGTGACAGACTTAGACTAGATACGAATAGGAGAGAATCAATTGCATCTAACTCGGACTATATATATGTACATGTGTGAGCGCGTGCAAGTATAGAAAGCAGAACCCACTAATTCAAAATTTTGGCATATTCCACAAAAGCGTTGCATGAAACACACTTGCTTTTATAGGACGGAAAGTGATTTATAAACGAATCCAGGATTTAAAAGCAGTGGTGCACTTCTCAATACAAATATATACATAATATTCTTTAAATTTTCTACAAGACATGTAGTATGAGTCCGTCTACTGCACGTTGCAAGTACTGCTTACATGAGAAATTACAGTGACCCATAAAAAGTTTTGCCACACTGCTATATGAGATTAGTTTGGGAAGAACAAAAGAAGGCACACTCCAAATTCAAAGTTCACTATTCTGAGAAGTTTTTCATAATTTTCATCGCTAACCTTGAAAGATTATTCACTATCTTCTGCTATGTATTGATTTCATATGTCACACTGGTTTCAAGAAGGACCAGCCGACTTTGCAGAAAAAATGGCAAAGGTTTCAGAAGGATTCTCCTGATGCAGAAAATTGACAAAAGAAAAATCAGTGCAAAGTTTGAAAATTGCATTCTTCACGTTAAACAACCAAACACTGATAACTTAAGCAGTGAAAAAGGATGAAGAATTGCCAGCAAAAGAAGAGCAAAAAAACATTAGTCCTAAAGCCAGTGAGCAAACAGAAGCTAAAAATCACGAGCAGATAAAAGTAGTTCTTACAGTGAATCAGAAAGGGAATTGTCAGATGATGAGACGGATGATGAAACAACCACAATTTCAAGTCGTTTGGCTGCAAACCTGAAAGAAGCCAAGGAAAATAATGAAAATGACTATTGTTTCTCTGTTGGTTCTCGGTACTAGGGTCTATGTCCCCCACGTGATGAGGTCCGCGAATGAAGCTGAAGAAAAATGAAACTAGTCTTTCTGTAGCTCAAATTTAGTTGTGGGTAATTTGCGTCTATGGTTGTGAATTGAATGAGGAAGGGGAGTCTTAGCGTAACTGGTAAAATAGTTGCCATGTGACCAGGAGGTCACGGGTTCAAGCTATGGAAACAGCCTCTTGCAGAAATGCAGAGTAAGGCTGCGTACAATAGACTTTTGTGATCTGGCCCTTCCCCGGACCCCGCGCATAGCGGTAGCTTAGTGCACCGGGTTGTGAATTGAATAACTATTCAGCTACCAAACTATAATCATTCAATTTATTATGAATCTAAAAAAAACCATCATTTGTATAAATCACAAGTGCCAAAGAGGTGAAATGGTCGGCATCTCATGTGTCCTCACTGAAGGGGAGAGCAAATGACCAAATCCAAGTCCTAAGAGCTCATTTAACCCGACAGATAAAGCAGAAAATGTTACTACTATAAAAGGGAAATGGGATCAGGAAGGAGAATATCTGCATCCGAGGCCTCTAACCATCAAGCAACAGTTAAACTTATTTAAGAAATTATCATTCTGTTAGACCTTAATGAAAATGCAACTTGAAGAAGAAAAATACTCAGGCATGCCACTTCGTCAACTGAAATATGAAGAATTTGTCAACTGCAAGACATCTAAGATATGTCCTGTGATTAAGAGGAAGAATCAGTAGAGCTCAGTGAATTAAAAGCCAGAGCATCGTCTTGCATTCGCCAAAATAAAGAAAGGAGGAAGAGACAAGACATAGATTAGTAAGAGTATAAAAGCAATTTCACTGTTGAGCAGCTACATAGCAGATTATCTAAGGATGATCATTGTCTATTGGATTGCTAATCCAAATTTATATGCAAGCACATTATGAAATGAATCTGTCTCCGGTACAAGTGTATCAAGAATTACCTGAAAAGTTAAATCTGCTCAATAATAGGATGTACAAAAGTGCCTTTTGAAAGGCAACTGTTACAAGTGTCACTAGTGCTAGGTGTGCAACAGCGTCTTCTGCTTCCTCTGCAGCCTTATATGCTCCAGGACTTTTAAGCAACTCTCCAGCCACTGTCACTGTCGCCTCGAAATGAAGATCATGATATGAGCTCTTCCTTTTACTATGGTAACACAGGCACACTAAGGTTCTTTTTGCGTACATCTGCAGCTTCCTCTTGGACTATAGTTAGAAACTTCTGTAAGCAATCTAATTTAGACATTCAAAAAAGAAGCAGAATTAAATAGCATAGAGGATAAAGTTGCAGATGAACTGCCAAAAATAAATTACTAGTAATAAATAGAGTTGAAGAAGGTACTTCATACTCTACGTGGGATAAAATTTACTTTTTTACTGAAAAGAACTAGGCAAAATGCAACCTTTTGGGTTAAGCTGTAAAGAAGCAAGCGGAAATCTCATTTTTCCCAATGTACTTAAAACTCGTTTACTTGGAAGACACAAGAGTATTAGTAAAACCTTTTTAGACACAAAAAAGACACTACAGAGAGTATGAAACAAAACAAGGTGTAACAATTGATAAAGCAGTACTAGTGTCCACCAAATATTGAAGTGCTTGTTGTTTGAAGCAATGTTCTACAACAGAAAAAAAAATTCTTCTAAATGAAGGATGCTTAGATGAATAAGCAGAAAAAGCAAAGGTAATGACACCAAAATCTCAAAAGGATTTCGAGTGTATTTTTTATCAAAGAAACAGAACATCTTAAGCTTTTCACCTTTGCTTGATCTCAGAAGAAGTTGAAAATTTCACCTTCCAAGTCTGAGGAAATAGTTGAATGATCACTGGTACAAAAGAACTTGCCTGAAATTGTAAGAATTGTCAATTTACGGCACAAAAGTAATTTTTCGATAGTCTTCCAGCTGCAATAAAATTCCATTCATGTTAATCTCAAGACAAAAACCAACTATTAGCCTGAAAAGTAGCTTTAACCTCAATTTGGATCAAGAGTAAAGAAGGCAGAAGAAGACTTCTCCTTCAATTTCTACAACTTGAGAAGAATGTTAGATTCAGACAAGCAAAGTTCTTCATGTTGTGCTAGTTATTGCAAGAAATTCTTGTAACTGCTGGTATTACTCTGTGCCAAAACGAACAAAGAGAACCAAATAAAATGTCACTTACTGAGAGTATAAAATCCATAAGAGTGGTGCAAGAATGACATCGTCGACTGTCACTTTCCATGTCAATTTGCAAAATGAAAACTGGAAAAACTACATATTCGATTCATTTTAACTGTCTTTTAAGGTTTTTGCACATCCCCCTCAAGGATGAATTAATGATACACTAATAAGGATGAATATGGAAAAAAGAAGTAAATGCTTCTTGTTTTTCTGAAACTTCAAATATTGGGAACAAATTCAGCTTGAATCACAAGATATACTGTCCTGGTTTCTGGAAGCATCATAGATGAAGCATAAAATTCAAATAGCAGTAATAGCAGCAGAAAGCTCTTGCAAACTGTCACAAACCCCTCCAGATACTAAATACTAGAATAAAAAACAAATTCCTCCTGAAGCTACTGGTTATCTTTTTGTTAACAGGCCATCCACCCAAGCTACTGGTTATCTTTTTGTTAACAGGCCATCCACCCAATTCAAGCTACGAATATCCCTTACATAAAAGACAATTCTTCAAATCAAGAAATGCAAAGGGCAAAAAGCTACTAATACAAATGGTTAAACAAGGTAACCATTCATATAAATGAAGGCATACAATAACAGATACAATCCAATTATTATTGTGTATGTAATCACATTGTCAAAACAATCCGATTAAGAGATCTTCTCAAAATTGGAATGAAATTGTAGGACCGGCCATTTTTGCGCATTCCTTCATCTAGAACACTGGTAAGTTTATAATCATCTTCTCCCTTTACTTCCAACTTACGACTATCCTGATGTGGAGTATAAATACCAGTAAACAAACTCAAAGTTATTTATTAATTGCAAGAGACCAAACTACTTGAGCATTAGACTACTGAAATAGAATGAAACAGATAAGGCAATTCATGAGTTCAACAGTCCATAATAAGGCAGTACAGTCAAATCAATCCAGTTTAGTATACAAATGTAGATTCAACAAAATCCTGAAACTAGTTGCAATACAAATGCAGCTTCAGCAGAAATGAAAAACACTGCACTTCATTTCATGTCCAACTTGGAGATTACACGATATGTACCTGGAATTAAGTCACAAGGAGAAGAAGAATAAGAATCAGCAGCAGCAAATGACAAAGCAGCAGTTCAGATCTAAGCTCACAACCCAGCAACCAATATCAAAAGTAATCCAGAATCGAAATGTGAAAACACAGCACCAACGTCAACCAAATAGACTCGGATAAATCCTAAATCGACAAAAATTAAACCCAGGAAGAACTTCTGAAACTTCCAGCAATTAAAAATTGAGCTAAGAGATGAAAATCAACAACTAACACTCGAAATCAATCCAGAAATGCAATATAACAGTATTTTTTTTGGTTTTTTCTATAGTATTTTCTGTTTGTTTTTGGATTTTCGGGGCTGGATCTCAGATCTAAGAGAGGATTTTGAGTTCCTAAGGATTTGAAGTTCAAATCTTAGGCTCAGATTTGCAGAGATGGTGTGAAGTGAATAGAAACTTTTGCAAGAAGAGGAACATTTTTAGATGAAGTATATGTACATTGTCTGAGAAAACAAATGACGTCAGCCTGGGAGCATCAATTTTTCAATGTGGTTTGAATTAAATGGTTGTTCCACCACCAAATGCTCAAGCAACGGGCAATGGGAGACTGAACCTCTAAGAAATTCGGAGGAAATTGTGACTTAGCTCTAGGCTGATTAAACTATCAAATCCCTTGAAGACAGGTGGAGGATGTACGAAACATCTTTGAAGAGTCAAATGCCTCAACTACAAACATGTGCAAAATGAAGAAGGCAATTCGTATGAGATACCATACATGGGGCAGTCGTCAAGATCAGTAATGGAGAGGATAAAATTTGTAATGGGTCCAGCAATCCTGATTGTTTTATATTCAGAACCAATATTCTTCTGAAACAGGCAGAAGAATAAATATCAAGAGTAAAGAGGCAGAAAGATAAAAACTTTATATAAGCATCCCTGTGAAAGGCTTCTCCTTCATTTCCAAAATCTCAAAAAATTTGAAGTGTACAATTTATCAAACGTAAGAGAAAACCATCTTAAGTTTTTCGGCTTCCTCCGTTTTTGTTAGTCCACTATCTTTATAGTTTCAAAGCTGCTATGGAAATTTTAATCAAGAATTTTACCACTGAAAATGCTATTCTTGGACTTGTAATGTGTACACATGAGGAAACCCGAATCGCTTATTCAGAAAATATGATTTCCAAGATAAAGTAGAATGGCATAACAATCAAATTATAAGAAGTGATCTACCTACTCAATAAGCTTGCTTGGAAAGCTTAAGCAATGTTCTAACTGTCAGTATTTCAACTTCCGCAATTCCATTGATTTAATTTCTTTCCAGAGGTAAAAGGAACTTGCACATAAGTGAAAAGTATACCTAAATAAATCAAGTGAAATAGATCACTTCTTATTTCCCAAGTGAAATTGTGGTATAATGTCAAGCAAAGAAGGATGCTTCGCCATAACATCTATTAGTAACTTTACTGTACTTGCATCCAATGAGAAGCCCCTTTCATTCATTTCCTTCAAAAAGGTTTCCATTTCAGTAAATTTGCTACACTTGAGAAATCCTTGCACAATAATATTGTAAGAGGCATTGTTCGGCGAACAACCATTGTGCTCCATTTTTCTTAGCATATCTTTAGCTTCATCTAACAACCCTTTTAGACATAGTCCATTTATTATTGTAGTGTATGTAATCACATTGGGAAACAATCCAATCAAAGAAAGCTTCTCAAAAATAGCATGAGCTTTGTCGAACTGACCATTTTTGCACAATCCATCAATAATAACAGTGTAAAGTTCAATATCAATATCTTCTCTCTTTTTTTCCAACTCATGAAATAGCAACATTGCTTTCTCAACAAGCCCATTGTGAAAGTAACCGTCGAGCAAAATGCAATTAGTGCATAAATTAGGTTTGAGCCCAGTAGATAGCATTTCAGCAAAGAATTTTTCGGCAAAGTCGGTTCTTCCAGCATCAAATAGACCTTTCAAGATAGTACTGTATGTAACAATGCTAGGTTTCAATCCATTTCGAGAAATATCATGAAACAAATGCATGGCCTCATCCAATTTCTTTTTCTTACAATATCCATTTATTAATATGTTATAGCAAAAAATGTTAGGCTCAATGCTCTTATCAATCATGGAATCAAAAATTCTCCTTGCTCTATCCATTTGACCACGTAAACAATATCCATCAACTATCACACTGTAGGTGACCACATCTGGCTCTACACCTTTTCCAATCACGTGTCTCACTACCTCCTCGGCATCTTCAACTTTTCCTTCTTTGCATAGTCCATCGGTCACTATGGTCAAGGTTTGCACATCTGGATAAATATTAAGATTTACCATTTCGAAGAACAAAGTCCTAACCTCTTCCCACTGACCAAGCTTACAACAACCATCAATCAATGAATTATATGTGATAACATCGGGAGGAATGCCTTTTTGTTTCATCTCTTCAAAAAGGCCAATTGCAGCATCTAGCATTCTATCCTTGCAAAGAGCATCTATAACAATGTTGTAGATGTATGTGTTGGGCTTAGTGCTTCCTTGTTCCATTACCCTAAGCAAATCGAATGTTTTTTGAGTATGGCCCATTTTGCTAAGCCCATTCATGACAATTGAATACATGACTTCATCAGGCTCACAAATATTCTCTCTCACCAACTTTTTGAACAAGTTAACTGCATCTTTTATCTTACTTTCCGCAAAGAGTCCCCTTAGTAGGGTGCTAAAGGCGACAACATTAAATGGAATGCCCTTCTTCAAGTAAATGGCCAACACTGAAAATCCGCAGTCAGAACAATGCATTAGGCAATAATTGTTAATCACTATATTCAAGATGAAATCATTAATTGGGATGCCTAATTTCCGCATTTCTCGAAAAAGGGAAAGAACAGAAGAGTAACGCTTCATATTTACCATAGTCTTTAATAATTTGGAGAAGCTAAAAACAGAAGGAAGGGGCTGAGTTCTGACCATTTGACGAAAGAGACTCAAAGCATCATCTAAACACTTGACATTCTCAAACCGACGTGGGACTTCCACTTCCCAATAACCAGTAAAAGATTCTCTAACATGTTGCAAAATAATCTTCTTGTGTTTGAAGCAAATACACTAAGAGAAAGGGTTTGAAGTTTGAGAAATGAAGCAGAAAAACAGCACCTTTCAGAACTTGAGCTTTTGCAAACCCAGAAATATTCATCGTGTTATAAAATATCTTGCAAATCTAACTACAGAAGAAATTAGAGATTCAATATTTCATAGACAACAAAATATCTTAAACCATGACGAAGCTACACATGGAGAATGATCATAGTTCAAAGTTCAAAATTCAAAATTAGTACAAAATAGCAAAGAGGTAGTGTCACCAACTCTAAAAGCCAGTCAAGAAGAAGCTGATACCTTTTGAAAGTGGTTGACACCTCTTTCTCTAATAATTCCAGCAATTGATTAATTTTCCCCAGTTACCAAAATCACCAAAGGCTCCAAATATACGGTTTGTCTTCTGCATTGAAGCAAACAATCAGTTATCTCAAATCCTCACCACAGAAGCAAAATTACATAAGCATGCATATATATATACAAAGATGTAAATTTACCCGCTTCACAGCATCATAACATAGTATCATCTGCTGCGCACAGCATCATCATTCAAAATGTCAGATATTGTCGTGTAGGTAAATCAAGCTCACTTGGTGCTGGCCAACTGTGCGCGGAAGAGCTTAGCAGCTGCAACCAAGTTGTTGAGGGCAGGCTTAACTTCAGTATATTTGTGCGTCTAGAAGCTATAGACAGGGTTACCCCAGAGGATGTTGGTATCAAGGACTGCAAGGATCTTGCTGATCCTGTCAGCAATTTGTTCTGTCAATGGAATCCTTGGCTAATGGATGTCGTATACGCCAGCGCAATCCCAGCACCATAATTCACTCCCTCGCGGAACACAAAAAGAAACTTCTCACCTGACCTGAAGGTCGCGATGGTGATCACGTCAACATCCATGTCGATAATTGAATGGATGATGATGTCATTGAAGTTTGATTAGCGTGGGTCTAAATCTGTCACAAACAACGGCCAGCCAAGAAGATTAGAATCTCGTAAAAGAAAGAAAAATATTACTCCCTCCCATGCTTTTATTTGCCACTTTAGTGTCACAAAAAAAATTGGCTCAAAATATTTGTCACTTTTGAAAACAAGAAGGCTTAACTATTCTTCCCAATTCCGCCCGTACTACTCCAAGAAGGCCAATAGTCATGACTGACTTGTCTAAAGAAAAGATAAGAGTAATAAAATTAAAAGTCCCTAATGATTACTGTTACTGGATAAATTTTTAAATTAGTGTACCAAAATCTTAAATGGGTACCCTTTTAGAGATGAATTCACCGAGCAGGATAATAATACCCCTGCTAAAGAGCCAGCAAAAGAAGCTAAAAGTCTTCCAGAAATATCTCCAGCGGATAAAAGTAGTTCTTACAGTGAATCTGAGAGTAATCATCAGATGATGCGACTGATGATGAAACAGCCAGATATGCTAGTGGTTTGGCTGCAAACTTGAAGAATCCAAGAAAAATGATGAAAATGACTCTTGGTGCTCTATTGGTTATTGGTACTGGGTTCTATGCCGCCAACATGATGAAGTCTGCGAACGAAGCAAAAGAAATAGGACTAGCAGCTATAGCTCAAATTTGGTTGGGATATTTGCATTTCCCTCCCAGCTACGATTGTGAATAGAATAACTAACAAAGGATCCCCTTTTCATTTCTAAAAAGTAATCAACCCATTTGTTATGAATCAAAAAACCATCTATAGAATAAATCATGCACTAATGAGGTATGCATCTCATGTGTGCTCACTAGAGGTCTTGGATCATTTGAACCCATTGTGTATAAGGCTGCATCTGCCTCTGCTTGCACGGTTGTACACCAACTTAATAGATTACTTACTGATAATCTTTTTTCATTGGATTTCTAATCCAAAATATGTGCAAGCATATTCGGCAATAATCTCTCTCCAGAACAAGTGTCTAAAGATTAAATGACTTGGCGTGCTTCTGAAAAGCTACATCTGCTCAATCACAGCATGCAAAGATTGTCTAGAGTTAATCTGTTTCGCCACATGAGAGAGAGAGAGAGAGAGAGAGAGACGGACAGAGTTAACTTAGACTAGACCAATAATGGGAACATGATGAATTTCCAAGCCCCAAGTCATGTTTTTTTCACCTAATCCTATAGAAGACAGCAATCGCAACCGAATAGAACAAAAAGAATAACTAAGGGGCATAACAAAGAATTACCCTGTTAAGATCATATTAGTAGCCACTTAACTTCCACACAACACTTTAATGTTTGGGAAAATAAAATATACAAGTGCTTTAACTAGATGGTAGCTATAATCATCCTTCATTCAGTTCAGCCTCTTGTGTTAAAAGAAGACGATAAATGTGAAAATAAGTATAGCTGAATAAATCAAGTGAACTAAATCACATCTTATTTCCCAAGCGAAATTGAGGTATCATGTTAAGCAAAGAAGGATCCTTCGCTATAGCAGCTATTAGTAACTTTACTGTACTTGCATCACATGAGAATCCCCTTTCAGTCATTTCCTTCAAAAAAGTTGTCATTTCACTAGTTTTGCCAAACTTGAGAAATCCTCGCACAATAACATTGTAAGTGTAGTTGTCTGGCGAACAACCATTGTCCTCCATTTTTCTTAGCATATTTTTGGCTTCATCTAGCAATCCTTCTAGACATAATCCATTTATTATTGTAGTGTATGTAATCACATTGGGAAACAATCCAATCAAAGAAAGCTTCTCAAAAATAGCATGAGCTTTGTCGAGTTGACCATTTTTGCACAATCCGTCAATAATAACAGTGTAAAGTTCAATATCAATATCTTCTCTCTTTTTTTCCAACTCATGAAATAGCAACATAGCATTCTCAACTAGTCCATTCTGAAAATAACCACGGAGCAAAATGCGATTAGTGCATAAATCAGGTCTGAGCCCTATAGATAGCATTTCAGCAAATAATTTTTGCACAATGTCAGTTCTTCCAACTTCAAATAGACCTTGCAAGATAGTCATATATGTAACAATGTTAGGTTTCGGTCCATTTCGAGAAATTTCACGAAACAAATGCATGGCCTCAACCAATTTCTTTTTCTTACAATATCCATTTATTAATATGTTATAGCTAAAAATGTTAGGCTCAATGCTCTTATCAATCATGGAAACAAAAATTCTCCTTGCTCTATCCATTTGACCGCGTAAGCAATATCCATCAACTATCACATTGTAGGTGACCACATCTGGCTCTACACCTTTTTCGATCATGTGTCTCATTACCTTCTCAGCATCTTCAATTTTTCCTTCTTTGTATAATCCATCTATCACCATGGTCAAGGTGTGCACATCTGGATACATATTAAGATTTATCATTTCTAAGAACAAAGTGCTAACCTTTTCCCACTTACCAAACTTACACAAACCATCAATCAACACATTATATGTGATAACTGTCAGAGGCATGCCTTTTTGTTTCATCTCTTCGAAAAGGCTAATAGCAGCATCTATCATTCTATCTTTGCATAGGGCATCTATAACAATGTTGTAGATACGTGTGTTGGGTTTAACGCTTCCTTGTTCCATTACCTTAAGCAAATCAAAAGTTTTCTGAGTATGGGCCCTTTTGCTAAGCCCATTCATGATGGTCAAATATGTGACTTCATTAGGCTCACATATATTCTCTCTCACCAACTTTTTGAACAAGTTAACTGCATCTTTTATCTTACTTTCCGCAAAGAGTCCCCTTAGTAGGGTGCTAAAGGCGACAACATTAAATGGAATGCCCTTCTTCAAGTAAATGGCCAACACTGAAAATCCGCAGTCAGAACAATGCATTAGGCAATAATTGTTAATCACTATATTCAAGATGAAATCATTAATTGGGATGCCTAATTTCCGCATTTCTCGAAAAAGGGAAAGAACAGAAGAGTAATGCTTCATATTTACCATAGTCTTTAATAATTTGGAGAAGCTAAAAACAGAAGGAAGAGGCTGCTTTCTTACCATTCGACGGAATAGACTCACAGCTTCATCTAAACACTTGACATTCTCAAACCTGCTAGCTACCCCGAGTTTACCCTTTGCCGGAATGGATGTATTGCTATGACAAGAAGAACAATCTCTGGTTGTAAATGCCGAACCAGAACGGGAAATAGCAAAGCATGAGCTAATATACTAGTCCAGCTAGGGGTGTTCATAAAAACTCGAAAAACCGAATCAAACCGAAAATCAAACCAAACCGACCAAAAAAACCGATACTTTTTGGTTTGGTTTGGTTTTGGTTTTGAATTTTAAAAACCGATCAAATTTGGTTTGGTTTTGGTTTTAATCAGAAAAAAACCGAACCAAACCGACTATCGGAGTAGCTATTTCAAATTTATTATTATACCTATATATATGTATATTGTTATACAAAGTTTCAAAAAATTTATGGTAAATGTTAATAGTTTGCACTTTTAATATAGTTCTTTACCTTTATATTCTAGTTTACAACAACAACAACTACCCAGTAGAATCCCACATAGTGGGGTCTGGGGAGGGTAATATATACGCAGACCTTACCCCTACCCCGATAGGGGCAGAGAGGCTATTTCCGATAGACCCTCGACTCAGGAAGACGAAAATAAAGTAAGAAAAAATAAGAGGAGAGAATTCATTAGTAACTCCAGTAGAAATCGTAATAGTAACAGAAACATAAAAACCGAAAGATGAATGACATGCAATAACAGTAACCATAATCTAAGGCCCGGGGCTAAGACAAACAACAAGAATAGTGTGGGTCCCTGTGAGCACGTGATTTTTGCCCTAAGTGAATTATTCCCAGAAATTCAAACAAAATAATTTCTTTCATTATTTTGCTATTTTTGGGAATTCTTGTGTTATTGTCTGTTAATTGTTTGCATTTTATTTGTGCTTTTTAATTCATATAAAAAATATATAAAAAAAGGGGTACATTTGGCATGTACATTTAGGGTTC